GAAGAAATCAAATTACATCCCCCCAGTCAGTAACTGGATGGTCTTTGACTTGCTTTAGCTTGCAGAGTTAGTCTGGACTGTGCTGTGAATTTAAACCAGGCCTGTCGGTGGCTCTTCCTGCTCACTAGATGGGTTCACTTTATCTTTTTCTGGTGTATTTTAAACACCCCAAAAATCAGCATCATGTCCAATTGTACTAAGAGAAGTACTCCTTCAACACACAAGCTGTGTTTCCATTGACCATGTAATTGCTCAAACTGGAATTACAAAAATAAATTTGCTTAAAGGTGCATTATTTTACATTTATAAAAAGTGTTTTTTATATATTTGTTAAAACTGTCACCATGTCGTGACAGTGTAATTTTAGACAGATAATCTGTGAAAAGTTCAATCTCCTCCACCTCCTCTGAGCTATTATTGCTGTCTGGAGAAATCCATCACGTCTTACCAAAAACGGCCAATCAGAGCCAGGAGGAGGGTCTTAAAGCTGTCAATCAACCGCATGTACTCACTGCTAAATGTGCTAATTTTGGAGAAATAACTTGCCGTTACAGGAAAACTGTTTATTTGCCATCATCAGTGGGCACGCTAACTAGCATTGCCTTCATGCTATGCTACCTGGAGCTTAGCAGAAAGTAAGGGGAATGTGGGAGAGGTGATTGACAGCGCTGAGACCCGCCTCCTGTCTCTGATTGGTTGTTTTTAGACAGCACTGGGATAGCATAGTTCATATCTTACTGTCACAACATAGTAAAATGTTTTAGCAAATATGTACAACTATATTTTTCATAAAAGTTGCATACTGTAGCTTTAATGGAAACAGCAATTTCGGAGGGAAAAAAATCAAGCTTTTTAATAAAACGTTTTTCTGCTAGGATGATCCAGTGGAACAAGACATTTTAACTTTTAATGTGGGGAAAAATGTCTTGTTCCATTGGTAGATTATTTCACCTATATCTAGTTATTTTTCTATCAGTATTAAGTAATTTTGACTCAAAAAAGCTCCTGTTGTGCTGAAAAGCTGCTTGTAAAATATTTTTGTTTTTATTTCAAGTGTCTTTAACATGTTTGCACTAGAAAAATAGACCAAAAATACATTTGTGATTTTGTTTTTACAGTCAATCCGTAAATTTGTTTACTGGTGGAATCATTGTTTAATATGATTTCAGTAAATTCAAAGTGATTTTATTATATGACGATAATGTTTGGACATGATGTATACAGCAGTGCTGTGTTTCTGTCATGGAAAAAAAAATCTATTGTGCAGCAGGAAGAGATTGTGTGTTTGTCAAACTGGCTGCGGGTCATTTCCCTCTGGTGCTGTGGGAACATCTGCTTTCTCTGTGCTTTATATAGAAGGATGGCAGAGAAGGGCAAATAGTTTGTCTATGGGAATCAATGTAATGGGTTGTGCTGACCGTCTTTCTTGCAGAGCCCTCCTACAGTCTTAGTCATTTTACAGACAAGGAGTCTTTTTCTGCAGAAGAGGAAAAGAGCCACTGAAAAATTCTACGAATTCAGACTTTAATCAAGATATTTCTCAAGATTCAGACTTATGATCTGAGAAGACTACAGTCAGAATTCTGAGATTAAAGTCAGAACTTTGAGGAAAAAGTCAAAATTCAGAAAAAAAAAACCCCAACAGAATTCGGAGGAAAAAAACTCACACTTCTGAGAAAAATTTCAAAATTTTTCAGAAAAACAGCCAAAATTCTGAGATTAAAGTCAGAATTTTGAGGGGAAAAGTCAAAATTCTGAAAAGAAAATCATTCTGAAAAAAAGTCAGAATTCTGAGATTAAAGTCAGAATTCAGAAAAAAGACAGAATTTTGAGATGGAAAATCAGGATTGTAGAAAAAAAAATTCAGAGAAAAGTCAAATTCTGAAGAAGAAAAAACAATTCTGAAAAAAAGTCAGATTTGAGACGAAAGTGAGAATTACAGTCACCATTCTTAAAAAAAGGTCAAATTCTGAGAAAAAACTCAAAATTCTGAGATTAAAGTCAGAACTTTAAGAAAAGCCAAAATTCTGAGATTAAAGTCAGAACTTTGAGAAAAGTCAAAATTCTGAAAAATAAAAAATCTGGAAAAAAGTCAGAATTATGAGATTAAGTATATTATGTATTTTCCACATAACAAAACTGGCCCACAGTGTAACTAGTTTCCACAAATATTAAGGAAAACAGCTAGCCAGAATACAGATTTTATTTTAAGCAGAGAAAATACTATTCAGAAGAGGTAAAACACCAAAAATAAATTTCTTTAAAACATTAATTCCTTTCACACAGCATAGGAATTTCACTAGTACATTTATAAGAAACAAATATTGCCAGTCTGTGTGTGGATGGATGCTGTGCAGCACAGTCATAAGCATGATTGGGCTCAAAGCAGAGCATGATGGCCTCTGATAAACACCTTTTGGTCCTATGAACCATGAAAACATAATTCAGGTTGCCAGGTTTGCTTATTTTATATGGATAAATCAGAAACGATTGCATCAGAAACAGAAATGTTGAAATATTTATACCGATAAAGACCATATCTATAACGATTAGCATGAAGAGGAGACCTTGGCATGGAGCTGAGCTGTAACCAAATGATTAAAGTCTCCTAAAAGAGGCAGAGCATGAAGGCAGCTGGGGTAGGCTTTTGGCAGCGTGTTCTGTTTCGACCCTGTTGGGAAAACGGGAAGGATTCAGTTTTTTTTTTTTCCCATGTGAAAAAGGAACAAAACCTCGCTCTGACTTGCAACGCAAACATGCACACAAAACACACTCACATCCTGCCCCTACAGACTTCCAACGTGACATTTTCTGACTAGAACACCACATGCAGACTTATTTATACAAAGGCTGAACTTGACAAAGTCATGCAGATCTGGACTGTTTTAGTGTTTTTGTTGCTTCCGAGTCTGACTCAAATATATCAAATCTTTAGGGCAATTTCTGGAAAGTGCTGTTATAAAATCTATATTACTGTTAGGCTGAGGAGAGTGTGGAAAACAAACAAAAATCAATCACAATTATATTTTTAAAAGATGTAGAAAGCTCAGAAAATTATCTGAGCCAAACCGAATTTTAAATATTTTAAAAATATATTTAGGGCATTTAATCATTTTATGCAATACCACTTTACTGGAAGGACTACCTTTTTGGGGGTAATGTTTTATTTTGCTGTGTTTCTCTAAATTAGCAGAAAGAGAAGAAAACAAAACTACACTTACTCAGTCGTTTCTTAAATTAATTAATCCAGTGATTTCCAACCAAAAGAGCAAATATTATTTTGACCGTCAGGAGATGCTATAGTTGCTAAAAATAACTTGGAGAAAACGCTAAAACCGAATATATTTAGCATGATGGAATGTAGAAACCCGAACTGTTAATCTAACGTTGACGTTTAACTGTTCAAATCTTTAATTTGCGCATTTGATGAAATTGTGAGCTACGTTTGTAATATTTCAAACCCGTAACGGTTCGATACTGTAAGCTAACATGCTAAAGGTTAGCTAACATGCTAACGGTTCAGCTACATGGAAAGAAATGACTACCTACAGATTCTTCTGTTTGAAACAAATAAACAATTTTATTTTTAAATTAAAAGGAAAATTTAAATGTGAAAAATAAAAACTAATTTTCTGAATATAAGAGCCAACTATTGCGATGTACAAACATTAAACCAACATGAAGTCTTAGTAGTCTAGTATGGTGTTTTCCATCTAACTGCTTTCATTCAGAGTTTGAAATTGAATAAATCAAGAATTGTTGAGTGTTAAAATATATTTAATAAATGTTTAGTTTTCTAAATAAAAAGGTTCAAACGCCACCATTATCACAGCTAAACAATGGTTTGATCCATTTGTACTTGGATGTTGGAATATCTACTTCCATAAAATAAGCAACTTTTTTTTAAGATTGAAGTTTAAAAGTAAATTGCAACGGACCTCGAGATCCAACATGGCTGCTGCTACATGTATAAAGTACAGTAATAGTTGCAGTGATTAGCTGTTTGTGCTTCTTTGTATCATTCACATACTGTACTGAACAACACATTTATGAACATACTCACCTCAGGGTTTATATGCCTCAGTTGCAGTAAAAATATATTCACTTATTAGCTTTTTTGCCAACAGTAGTTAACGTAGTCACTTAATGTAATAGTAAGAAAATCCTTGTAAGTTGAACACGGTTGACTTCTGACTTCCATATAAGCATAAAAGATAAGCTGAGAAACATTTAAACTTAAAGTTGGTCATGAAGGCAGTAAAACAATGAAACAACTGATACATTGTATCTTAAATTTCAGTATTGACCACAATTTTTATTTAATTACATAGATTAAATATGATCAGCGTTAGGGATGAGTAGACCTAAAAGGCTAAAATGGTTGGAAAGCACTGGTTTAATCCAAAATATTTTTTTGGGATTCTGATTGTTATGCCAATTGGAGCGACTATTTAGCCAAAAAAATTTAACTTTTAAAAACCAAACATCGGCGTTAACTATGGCGGCGAATCAAGGCCATTGTAGATGGAGGGGAAAGAAGTAAATTTCCATCAGATTTTCTAGAAAAAACAAGAATATTTCTGAGTTCGAAAAGTCAAAAATTTCTAGAAAAAAACTCACATTTTGAGATTAATCTAAAAAAAATTCTTTACAAAAACATGAAAATTTCTGAGTTTTTGCCGTTTGTTTTTTTCCAGAAAATTTCTCAGTTTAGTTTCAAAATTTCAGTTTTTTCTTGCAAATTTTCATTGTTTGGAGCACAGACATTTTTTGTTTGTTCTAGAAAATTTCTGAGATTATCCTCAAACTAGCAGATTTGTTTCTCGCAAATGTTTGACTTTGAAGCTTAAATTTCTAAAGTTTTTTTTTTTTGTTCAGAAAATTTCTGCGCTTCATCTCAAAATTTCAGATTTTTTTTTCTCATAAATTTTTGACTTTCAAACTCTGTAATTTCCAAGTTTTTTGGATTTTTTTTTTTGAGAAAATTTTTGAGAATATTCTCAAAATTTCTTCTTTTTTTTTTTTTTTACAAAATTTACTCCTTTGTTCTATCTACAATGGCCCTAATTTGTCATTGTGGTTTAACAATACTGTAGACATTTTTTGTAACAGAAAAAAAACTAAGTGGAAAAAAATCTCAGTATGTGATTGAGGTGTAATTCAACATGATTCCTCAAATCATAGCAGATTCAATATAAACTCACTTCAAATTGTTATATTTTTCTTTTAGTAAGCAGCAGAACAGAGGAAATACAGCATTATCCCAAAACCTGGAGAGATCAGGTTTAGATCCGCTTAACTAGACAATTATAAGAGAAAATCAAGTCAAAACTCAGCAGACATGAAGATGTAAACTTGAGAACAGAGGTGAACGCTCATCCATGTTCTGGCAGTGACACTGTGATTGGACAGTCCAGATAAAAACAAAGGGCTTCGTTTCTCGCAGCTGCAGCCCGTTAGCGATGACAGACTTGGCAGCTGACGTGGAGTCGGCTCACAGGTTTTCGTTGGTGTCGTGTTGGCACCGGCCGTCGGTTACAGTGTTCAGGAAGGGCAGCTCATCGCCACAGCCTTGAAGCTTCAGAACCCGACTGTTCAGATCCAAGCAGCACTGAGGGAGGATCCACATGGTGAGACATAATTACTGCTCTAAATAATTTAAACAGGCTGCCAGCTTGACTTCAGGAGGCTAATCCAAGGCCTGTTGAAAGGGGTCGTTATAAATCATCCAGGAGCTGTTTTTAAGCAAATTTTCCACTAATATTGATGAAAAAGTATTAGTTAAATTGATGGATTATTTCACTTATATGTTTCAAAAGTGAAATAAGTACTATTTCATCAATATTAATTATTTACTTACAATAAGCTCCTGTAACTCACTGAAAAATTACTTGTAAGTCAGTAAACTTGATGTAAGACAAAACTAAGACATTTGTGTTAGAAACTAGATGAAAAAAATACTTGAGATTTTGCGTTTTTGTATTGTAACTTCTATTTTTTGAGTTATAAATTTCAAAAACACAAAATTTTACCAAGTATTATAATCTAGTTTCTAGTGCAAGTCTTAGTTTTGCCATATTTCAAGTGCATTAATTATTACTTAAAGGAAGATTTGGGAGCTCGTTTACAATCAATAACTGATGAAAACGTTCGAGCTCCACCGGCAGATTACAGTATTTTTCATCAATATTATAGAATTATTGACTTAAAACAAACTTCTATCTTGGTAAAAAGTTACTTGTAAGTTAGTTTTGTTTCATTTCAAGTGTACTAGGCGTATTTTTCAAAGGTCCGCCAGGGGGCGCTGTGAGGGCCTCAGAAAGCGAAGATGAGAAAGTACAAATTAATCTGTTATTCAGTCATGTTTTTTCCAAATAAAATATGTTAAAATAATTGCTTTAAATGCTATTTCTGTTTTTCAGCTGATTGTTTTTTTTAGCTATAAATATGAAAGTTTTTACAAAACACAGACAAAAGTTCCCGACTGTGGAGGATACTACTGCAAAAAAAAAAAAATAAAAATACATATTATATATGATATATGACATATTTTCTTATCAAAGAAGGGGATTGTGATAAAAAATTGTATTATCTGGTAATAAATAAAAGTTTCTGCCACAGAACTTATGGCCGTCTAAAATCCAAATCTATGAAGCAGCATTTATGTTAAATGAATGTAATAATTATTGAATAGTGAAAGAAAAACACTGTAAAAGTTGATATTCCTTAACATTCCCTGTTAGTTTACACCCAGAGGTTAAAGCTCTTTGTCAGGATTCTGTTGTAAAGTAGATGATGATCCTTCAGCAACAGACTGATTAAAGTCAAATGAAATCAATTACTTTTTGGGTTTTATTCAGTCACCAGTTGCACTGATGCAGGATTTGCTTTCTTTCACCAGGCCTGTGAGGATGTGATATAACTTTCACTTTGAAATGTAATTATTTTCCAGTGACTTGACATTATGATCTATGAGAGAAGCAGCGATATTTTTACAGCTACACACTTAAACAACATTCTAATTAGACTTCTTATACTTCAGGCCTCTAATCATAGTTAATTAGATTTTCATTAAAAAAAAGCCAGAGGGTAAAATCACCGTCCATGAAACGCTCCAACTGAATCCAAGTTCACATTATTTTCACACCATGAACTTACTTTATCTGCTTTTCCGTCCTACCGCCATTTTTAACATTTTTCTGTTTTTCCCATTTAGCAATTTAGCTTCAAACTGGACTACTTTTTTGGACCATTATCCACCAAGTATTAAAATAAAAAGTGAACCTTACTTTCAGTTCCAGCAGCGTCTGCAGACCCAGGCACAGTTCAGACGCCTCATCCTCTAAAAGTGGAGAGAAGAAAAGATAAGAGCAGAGAAAATAAAACGTATTATAGAAATGCTTTATGGAAGCAATTTAACCACCTTATCTGAACATGCATAAATTAGACTGAAGCTCTACAAAAATATTCCTTTGTGTGATAATGAGAGCTGTTAAGCTTGTACTTGTGAGGTTGGGTGTTGGTGTTGTATCATAAAAACTTAATATCTGTGGGTATGGGGTTGAATTTTTTGCTTGAATTATCCGTTTTTCACTGGTTAGAATGATTTAAGTCCATACAGCGTGGCTTCATTTAGCTTCATTTAGACCATTTAGGATCTGTCTTGTATCCACTGAGTTAGGCATATAAGAATTTAAATAAAAAGAATTATACAGACATTTTACTACAATAAAGTTGGATTTCTGATTATTTTGCGCTGACAATCATAAAATTAATAACGCCTTGGATCCAAATGGTTGACTTATTTTAGGCTTAAAAACGTATCATTATATAAGCGTTTCATATCAGTCGATGTTGATAATTATTGATTAGTTTTGTGTTTTCAATATCTGAAATATTGCCAAACCGAAGGCTGTAGCTTTTCCTGTTTTATCCACAATTTTCAATCCACACAGTTTTTTATGTTTAAGCAGTTATGAGGCGAAACCTTAAACTGCTGCTGCACACGATACTAATAGGTTGTTGCTAGGTAACCAAAGAATGAGTGAGGGAGTTGTTGCTAGGTAACCAAAGAGTGAGTGAGGGAGTTGTTGCTAGGTAACCAAAGAGTGAGTCAGAGTGGCTAAAGCTGTACGGTTCTGGATTGGAGTAAAACAATATTATTGGATATTCTATCAGATGTATTATCTACTGATATTGATCACATGTTTATTGTGATTATATATTATTCATTTATTGATAGTATGGCTTCAATGAAAATTCAAAAATACTTTATTAATCCCAAAGGGAAATTAAATTATTCAGAAATTATGGGTCAGAGAGGCCTAGTTGTACGTCCTGGTCGGTTTTTATGTTATGTTTGCTCTTTGTATTTACTTTAGCTCTTTTTGTTATTAAAATTTGATTGATCTGAAACGTTTGACTGTTTTAAAATGGCAGAAATGGATTACATGTGTAAAGGCACAAATACTTTCTCAGAGAAAATATGTTTTAATTTAAAAAAAAAATCTAAACAAATAAGTTCAAAAATAAAAAATCACATTCAAATCCTTAAAATGTTCCCAAGTTGCTTTACATCGGTTTTATAACAATGTCCTTACCTTTCACATATGCTGAACACTGGATAGTCTGTCTGCCCAGCTGTAGCTGCAGACCAGTCACTGAACTGGTAGCACCGCATGGTGAACTGTCCTTAATGGGAACCAGTCTGAGAAGACAGACACACTCTGTGATCCTCACAGTACCTTCAATAATTAACATGTTTACCTGGTTGATGTTGCTACCTTCCAAATGCAGCTTTCATTTTTAATTTAGCTCATTTGTCTAAAGGAGAAAGAAAAATTTCACATTGTTTTAGCTGTCTATTCCAGTAGAATCTTAAGATTTTAAAAATGGAACTGTTTTTTCTTCATAACTTGACAACATGGTGATATTATTGAAAATAAGTGGTCACTTTTACAAACATGTTTTGGTTTAAGATAATGGCCAACTTGGAGATGTGGCTTTAACTGAGGACAAACCCCAAGGCTGTCAGAGGCTACAACCAGGACAAGAGTTTACACAGCATAAAGTTTCTCAGGTAAGAAATTACTTACTTTTAACAAATTTTATACTCTTTGTATAAAATATGTTCATACACTACAAAAACACAAAATTTCACCAAGTATTTTTGGTCTGGTTTGTAGTGCAAATATCTTAGTACACTTGAAATATTACAAAACTAACTTAAAAGTAACTCTCCATGCAAAAATGGGACTTGTTTTAAGTCAATAATTCCTTAATTTTGATTTTAAAAAGTATTTCCACTGACAGATTATTTCACTTATAACATGGGAGAAATGTCTTGTGATAAATTGAATAATCTGTCAGTGGAACAGAAGTTTTTCATCACTAATAAGAATTTATTGATTTTAAACAAGCTGATATCTTGCTGAAACGTTATTTGAAAGCTAGTACATTTGAAATGTGATTAACATATTTGCACTAGAAACTACACAAAAATTACACAAAGACTTAGTGTTTTTGCAGAACACTTGAAGACTACCACTATGCATTATGGTTAATTACAGCCAGACTATAGTGATTGCTAGTTTGAGTGCCTGTTTAATAAGTCTCCAGTTTCCTGCCTGTTGGACAATATTTAATGAAATATTCCCCTTAGCAATTTAAAATTAATATGTTTTATATATTTCTCAATTTTGTAAATGTATATTAAATAAGCCATCATAAAATTAAATCATTACTGAAGATAAGAACTGATTAAAATTGATGCAGTCCATTTAAATACAATTCCTTTTAATGCTTTAAAGTCTCTTTTATTAGAACTTTATCTTTGTTGGCAGTTAGTTTGTCTGGTTATAGAAACAGTCAGGAATACATTGAGAGCGGTGCGTTTTTGTTGTGTTGAGCTGGATGTTTCTTACCCCAGCCTCTGGCAGCAGGAGGTGGAGATGTGGTTGTGTAGGCTGCCAGTGTTGATGGATGCCTTCACTTCAGTTTCGCAGCACTGAGAAGAGACGAGAGGAGGGGATTTTGGTGTCATAGTGAGATTTTCCAATTTGCAATGATTCTGCACGCAAGGAAAAAGTTTGTCACAGCGGCACATAAGTATAGCTTTAGGGAGTTTTTAAAGGCTGATCTTCTCTCTTTTACACAAATCTGTCTGGCTGCAATGTGCCTATAAAACTGCCAAGCTGAAAAATAAAATCCAGAAACAAAACAAACACTGTTGGTGGAGAATTCCCTGTCCAGGGTTTAATGTTGCTGCGACTTGGTTTGCATCGATTCTGTGCAGCTGTTAAGCAGGTCAAGTTAAAATAAAACTAACCTCCTGTATGTTATAGATCCGGAAATGCCGCGCATGCGCACAATGCTGGAAAATGAAAATTCTTTTACGTGCCATAGCTGTAGAAAAATTCCGTTAACTAAATAAAACCTGGGGATGTCGGCACTATTGATTTAGTGTTATGCGCCACAGGAAATTGGAAAATAACGCAACTCAAAACCACTTTTTTTTTTCTCTCTCGTACTCTGTCTGTTACGCTACACGGAGACTCGTTGCCATAGCAACTGACAACGTCACTTTATGTTTCATGATTCGACACCAAAAAACATTCAAACATTTCTCACACAAAGAACAACACATTCAGTCCGTTACCATCTGTTATAGTATTATGTTTTAAGACTTGGTGTTTGTTTTGCGATTATTAAGTGAACGCTGTGGTAGATTAGCTACCGCTGTTATTAGCTAAGCTAACACTGCGGTGACAGATTAGCTAATTTAAATGCTTGCTTTTAACAGGTGTTCTGTTATTACATCTGTTTGTCAACTACGTCCCTCGCTATTTTTTCTTAAACTTTTTCCTCACCTTGTTATGTAGTTGTCAAGCACTGAGTCCCCTTTTCTTTTATACAGCAGGCGTGCATTTAAGATTTACATGCGGTATTGACAGTTTAACAGCTAAAACCAATGGTAGTCATCGTTAGCTAGCAGCTATGAAGTCACTCTGCTTCTGTGTTCTATTTTAAGGATGTTTTGGGATGTTTAGCTTAAATATTAAGTCTCATATTGCTAACAGGAGATGCTGATTCATAAGTCTGCTGAATGCACTTTGAATTTTCCTGTTTATACACCACCAACCATGAAATATTAACCAAGTGAGTCATATGTGCACATTTAATAAATTGCAAACCACAGTACAGTGAAGTGAAAACCTAGTGTTGATTTTTTGTGTATGCCATGCCACAAATCTTAATCATGTCTTTGAATAAGAATAACATTAAATTCTCGTCCCACGACCAATTCTCTTGCGTCTATTACAACCATTTCTCTCATACAATTAGATGAAATTACTGTGAAATGTGGTAATAATAGATAATTATCAGCCAGTCCTGTATTCTCTATTAGTTCTAGAGCTATTTAATGAGTTTCATCTTTGATTTAATCTCTCAGCTTTCATCAGAATCCACTCTGAAAACATAATGTGTCCTGGCTGAACCTCGCTAGGAAAGGCATTAGTTTTTCACATTGAAAATTTATAAGATTATGATGTGCTGATCTCTATTTCTAAATGGCTTTCTTTTTGAGTTATGTTCAAATATTGCTGCATATTATTACAATTATTGCTTTCTCAAGGCTTACATTTTGTAGTTATGACTGAATAATTTATTTAGATAGTGTTTTTTACATTCTCACAAAGGACTGCATCCAGTAAAATATAGATATCATAAACATAATGGGACATAAAAAACATTGATATGTAGATAATAAAATAAAATACAAACACATACGATGATGGATATAAAAACACTTGAGTCCCAAACAATAGGCAACTACCAAACTAAATAAATGGTTCTTTAGCCTTTTCTTTTTAAAAAACAGAATAAAATTAATCACAACCTCCTAACAGAAACCCATTCAAAGAGTCTGTGCAGTTTTGTTTAGATCATTTTAAATTAATTTCACTAAACTGCAAAAATATTTTCATTAAAATGTTTTAAACTGGGGCACCAACAACCTGGTAAAGTCATAAGGTGAACAGCTGCATTATGCTACAGTAGTAAAGTAAAAACAAAAAATATTAAGACGTTTTTGGTCAAAGAAAACGCAAATTGAAACTAAATCTGATCTATTCATGTTTTGTTATTCAATAAATGGCAAAAACAAATTTAAAATGATGAATTCTGGTTTTAGAAAAGCTAAAAGATTTGTGTGCTAGCTTTCTAGCCTAGCTTAACTGAACTAGCTTTCTTCAACTAGCTTAACTGAGCTAGTTTAGCTTTTCTGGGGCAAAGTTTGACCACTCTGAATCACTGTAACATCCTATGTCCAAATTTAAACCCTAGAGTAGTAATAATTTTTCTCAAATTATAGCTTTTTTTCAAAATCAATATGTTCTCCACCTCATCGTTCTGAAATCTCATTGTATTTTTTGCCTTTCGCTTCTTTTTTTAAATCAAGTATCTTCATACAACACCAAGAAAAAAATTCATTGATCACATAGCTTTTGTCGTTCTCATAGATTTTCTCAAGGTGAGGTGTTGGAGTAGCAGCTTCAACAGGCAGCCTTGCCTATTTTCACTGACTTTTATTTTGTTCTTTCTTTTCACAGTTCCTCTGCTGCCTGCAAGACATTTCAATGTGCTTCTTTCTGTAGTGCAGCAGACTGGAATGGTTTATGCTAAGTGTTTTGTCTGAGGTCCTTCCTCAGAAACCTTTAAGTTGGTGTCAGTAGAGGGACATTAAAGGAAGAGTTTGGGATGTAAACGCAGCATATGGCGGCTCTGCAGGCTTGTGAGATAAGCAGTGGGGTGACGCCACCCCCACACAGTGCATAATTTAGATATTTTCCAGGATAATCTACAAATGGCTCTCAGCTGTATGGACTATTTTTATCTTTTATAAAGTCTCATATAAACTACAACTCTAGCATCAGTTTAATACTGTTAGCTGTTCAATATTTTAGGAAACTGTAGAGCTGCTGTTCTTTATAAATATTAAAGAACGCTTAATCTTTGAAAGGGCGAACTGGCATTTTGAAAACATTACTTAAAACGGTCTCAATTATTGAGCTCATTTTTAATTTATTATCTGAATCAGTAGATCAGTTAATCCACTGATTAACTGATCAGTAGATCAGTTAATCTACTGATTCATTCCTTATTTTGATGCATTTATTGTGAATTTTATTTTATGTATTTTCATTTATCATCATGATACATTTCAGTCAGAATTATGTGTATTTTACCATTTTCTTCACTTTGTCCCACAAAAGCATCGATAAATATCAATACTTCAAAATATGATTAAATGCAGTTACAGCGTGCCACTTAGAGATTTAAATCACAGTTTTTAATTTTATTTTTTTTAAAGAATCCCATTTCAAATTTGTGGAGCTACGAATGTAGTCAGTCGAACAATTACCTAAGAAATAAGTTGCTTTTTAAAAAAAAATCATAATCACAATAGTACCACAAAATATTGCAATAAAACTCTAAATCCTTATTACCCACTCATCTATTTACTGTTAAAATTTGACTTTCTCTCTCTTTTTTTATGTTATAAATCTCAGTTTTGTTGTTTTATGCAAAGATCTTCAAAAAGTCATCTTCTGTCATATTTATTGACCCTTCTCTGCCGGTCATAAATCGATACTTTATCCACTTCACCAAAGACAATCTGCCACCCTGGTGGAAATGAGCACAGTGAGTTTCTTGTGGTTCTGCTCGCTCTGCACGGACCAAGATGGCCGCCCTGTTCTTATCAGCAGACACAGAAACCTGCTCTTTGTTCTGAGTCCTGCTGCCTCTGAAATCCCTGATGCTTTAAAAATAGCCCCTGAATGAGTAACACAAGAAGCCTGAGCTGTTAATGAGTTGATGATAAAACCCAGAATGCTGAATGTGCTGGAAAATAGGATTATTTTAAATATTAACAGCATTCAGTGATTCATTATTTAAACACCACTGAGAACAGGAGATGTTTGATCTTAGCATTGATTTCTTTCAAAGATCAAAATAGGCAAATATTAGCTGTTTTTGCCGCTGGTTAAATTTTAAATGAGATACTTTTGGACTAAAGTCTCACTGCACTCTTTGTTTTCATAAAGATTTAAACTATAAAAATGTCATACTTCTATATGTGTTTATTTCTAATTAAATTACCTTGATCTCTTCCAATATAGGGGAAATATTTGTGAGAAAACAGATGATGTCTGCTTTTAGTTCTGTTCAATTTATCTTAGATTTAACAGATAATCTGGGGAATTTAATCCCAATCTGAGACATTAAGCAATGATTATGGTAGATAGAAAAAAAGAGTACATTTCCACATAAGAAGTCAAAACGTTTGAGACTACTTTAAAAAGTTCTGTAAAAACTGGAAAATTTGAGTTTGAAAAGTCCCAAAATTTTGAGAATGATCTCATACATTTTTGAGGTTGAAAAGTCAAAAATTTACTACAATAAAATTCAGAAAGTGAGTTTAATCTCAGACATTTCTTCGTTTTAAATGTCAGAAACTCAGAAACATCCAAGTTTTGTTTCTTGAAAATCTTTGACTTTTTGTTTTTTCTTGAAAATTTTAGATTTTTTGGTGGAAATTTCCTCATTTTGTCTATAAGCAGTGGCTCTAATATCCTGCCTTGGATCTAAACTTGAGTTCAGTGAACAAAATTTGTTGGTAACAAATGTACTGACCTTTTATTTTGCCCTGAAGCCCCATTAGTTTTGCTTTAAACCACAGTCTGTTTGTGTTTAAGCTCTGCTGCAGTAAATGTTATACTTTCACCCACGGTAGACCTGTTTGGACTTTCAGTCTGTGTGACTCACTTATCTGTGGTTCTGATCCAGTCTGAAAGCTGCTGGTCCTGCAGAGCTTTTCATTCGTTCTCAGGTGAAAATGAGCTCCAAGTTATGAGTCACAGGAGCACAATGGAGCTCGTCTCCTTTTGTTTTCAGTTTGCTTGCAGATATACGTGGGTGAATAAAATGAAAAACTGCAGGCGGACTGTTTTACAGTGCGTGGTACCTTGCATTGAATAATTAAAGCTGTGAGTCGGGTCGAGCTGTCCGTGCTCTCCGGCTTCTCGGCTGAGTGTCTGGCTCCGGCCTCGCTGTTATCGTCCTCCTCGTCTGATCGGAGGCTCCTCTCGCTCTCCTCCAGAGACTCCCTCTCCTCGGTGGAGTCGTCTGCTGTGCTCTCGCTCCTCTCCTCGGTGTCCGTAGGTCCGTCCTTGGTGTCGGCCAACGGCGAGCGAACCCTGGCGGTGGCGTCCCGGGCCTCGCCTCGGAGCCGCGTGATGTTTCCCTCCAGCAGGCGCCGCTGGACGATGCTGTGAGGTTGCTAAAAAGACAAACAGAGATGTAAATGTTGAGATGGTAAATGAAAAAGTCTCTACTGATTCTAAAAACAACTCAAGCACTTGAAAAACCCATCTAGCCGTTTTTTTTTAGCATTAACTTAAAGTTTTTTTGGGTGTCACCTTCGGAATATGACGTCACAAATCGCTTAGTAACCACAGCCAAGCCCAGCTTGTTACCTAGCAACCCCAGCCAAGCCCGTCTCCTAGCAACCCAAACAGAACTCCAGCCCATGCTGGAAAAGACAAATCTAGTGTTTTGTTGACGATTTATCATCCAGAAACCACTTTCTTGTTGGTTGTGCAGGAGGCTCTACTAATGCTTTTCAAAGATGTACCGTAGCATAATTGCAGATCTGTGTGCAGCCATTTTCACCTGCGAGCGTAAACGTTGAGTTGGGGGGCGTGGCCAACAGCAGCTTATTTGAATTTAAAGTGACAAGACGCCCTAAAGCAGCTCAAAGTTGGTAGAAATGATCAGACTAAAATCTAATTGTCTAAGAATGATTTTCTGCAAAAAGAAAAGTTCAACATGTTTTGTGTAGATCATAGATCTAGCCTAAGCTG